AAAAAAAAAAAAAAATTGGAACTGGGTGTGGGGGCTGAAGCCTATAATTCCAGCACTCTTGGAGGCTAAAGTGGAAGGATTGCTTGAGTCCAGGAGTTCAGGACAGCCTGGGCAATGTGGTGAGCCCCTGTCTCAATAACAACAAAACAACACCACCACCAAGAAAAAGAAAGAGAAAAACAGAAAGGAAAAGAAAGAAAAGAAAAGAAATTAGCTAGGTGTGGTGGTGCATACCTGTAGTCTTAGCTACTGGGGAGGCTGAGGCAGGAGGATTGCCCAAGCCCAAGAGTTTGAGCCCAGCCTGGGCAAAATAGCAAAGTAGCAAAATATCAAGGCTAAGTGCAGTGGTTCACGACTATAATCCCAGGACTTGGGAGGCCGAGGCCAGTGGATTGCCTGAGTTCACAGGTTCTAGGCCAGCCTGAGCCAGAACAAGATCCCATCTGTAAAAAACATCTGGGTGGGGTGGCGCCTGTGGCTCAAAGGAGTAGGTCACCGGCCCCATATGCCAGAGGTGGTGGGTTCAAACCCAGCCCCGGCCAAAAACAAAAAACAAACAAACAAACAAACAAACAAACAAAACAGCTGGGTGTTGTGGGGGGTGCCTGTAGTCCCAGCTGCTTGGGAGGCTGAGGAGGATTACCTGAGCCCAGGAGTTGAGTCCAGCCTCGGAAATATAGCAAAACTCCATTTCTAAAAACAAAAATATCTGTTAAAAAAAATGAGTTGGACTCCTGGTATCTGTCAACAGTGGTCTTTAAGTTTTGATCCTCCCTCCTCCTCTGAGACATAGTCTATTGCTCAGGCTGGAGTGTAGTGGCATCAGCCTAGTTAATAGCAACGTTAAACTCCTGGGTTCAGGGATTCTCCTGCCGAGTAGCTGGGACTATAGGGTTCCACCACGATGCTCCACTAATTTTTCTGTTTTTTGTAGGGATGGAGTCCCACTCTTGCTCAGGCTGATCTCAAACTCCTAAGCTCAAGCTATCCACCTGCCTCTGCCTCCCAGAGGTTTGATGTTTTTAATGCCATCATAAAATCCCTGATTTTCACCATATTTGATGGATTTTAGTCCCGTATTCAGTATTTTTTTATTTTTATTTTTTTGGAGACAGAGCCTCAAGCTGTCCCCCTGGGTAGAGTGCTGTGGCATCACAGCTCACAGCAACCTCCAACTCTTGTGCTCAAGCGAGTCTCCTGCCTCAGCCTCCCAAGTAGCTGGGACCACAGGTGCCAGCCACAACACCCGGCTATTTTTTGGTTGTAGCCATCATTGTTTGGCGGGCCCGGGCCGGATTCAAACCCGCCACCTTGGGTGTACGTGGCTAGCGCCTTAGCCACTTGAGCCACAGGCGCCGAGCCAGTCCTGTCCCTTTTCAAGAGTGATATTTAGAAACTGCAACCTGCACATCATTAGTTGTCCTTGTCACTGGGGTGCCATCGTTCTCAGATTTTTCAGGGGCCAGAAAGAGGATATGTATGTGTTTTAACAAAAAATAACCGGGAGCTAATAGTAATAAATCCAGTTCAGAACCATAGTTTTCCTTTACCTGTTTGGCTTTACCACAGTGGTTCTCAACCTTCCTAATGCTGCAACCCTTTAATACAATTTCTTATGGGGTCATGACCCACAGGTTGAGAACCACTGTTTTACCATCTCCACTATGACCACTAAAAACAGTTTGCTTTTTTCTCTTCTTGGTCCTATGTATATTCCCTACTTAGGACATCACTCTGAACAGCTCTGCTGTGCATGGATAGGGTTATGCTACTGACTGGGGACGCAGTTGGTGTCACCTGTCCCATTTCATACTTTCAATGTCTGGGAATTGCTTATTTTATAATTATGCAAAATTATACACTTAGTTCCAAAATCAATTATACAGAGTATGGTGCATTTAAATGAATTTAGCTCATATCCCCTGCCCCCTCTGTCCTCTTTCTTTCTTTCTTTTTTTTTTTTTTGAGATAGAGCCTCAAGCTGACACCCTGGGTAGAATGCCATGATATCAGAGCTCACAGCAACATCCAAGTCCTGGGCTCAAATGATTCTCCTGCCTCCGCCTCCCAAATAGCTGGGACTATAAGTGCCTGCCACAACACCCAGCTATTTTTTGTTGCAGTGGTCATTGTTGTTTGGCGGGCCTCAGCTAGATTCAAACCTACCAGCTCAGGTGTATATGGCTTGCCCCTTAGCCACTTGAGCCACAGGTGCTGAGCCTGCCCTCTTTCTTTTAAAAGTATAAGTGATTATAGGCATAGATTCCCTCCTTATCACTGTGCAGCTTCCCTGCATCTCATTTTCTATTTTCTTGTGCCTGTACCTCGGCACCAGTGTTTGGCCCAGCTTTCACTGTGAATAGCCAGTGGATGGGAGCCCAGGTGTCCCTAAGCCAGATGGTCTGACAGGTCTGGGTGGCTCCCTCCAGCACCCATCCACTGGGGACTCTAGCTAGAGGTGGCCTAGCAATGCCTGGCTGCATCTTGCAGGGAGCTGGCCGGGAGGAGTCAGGTAGCTGGGTCAGGGCTGGACGGACGCCATCTCTTGCAGGACTCCTACCCAAGGTTCCTGAAGTCTGACATGTACAAGGGGCTACTGGAGGAGGCAGAGATCCCACTGGAGACAAAGAGACGGTGAGCCCAGACAGTACCATGCGTCCAGCTGCTGCCACCCCAGGACCTTTTGGGGCCTGCTGGTGAGGTGGGCAGGACTCTGGCTGGCCACCCCACCATCAGCCCTCTTCTCGCCCACAGGGTGTTCCCATTCACATGGCAGCCACGGCACTCAAGCCCCAGCCCTGCTCTTCTTCCCACCTCTGGGGAGCCCATGGTGGTTGGCAGCCCTCGGGGTGATGGGGAGGTCTAGGTGGACCTGGCCTCTGTCATCCTCACTTCCTCCTACTTTCCATTTCCTCCCGCTTCACACCCTGCTGATTGCACAGTCACCTTCCTCTTGGCCCAAAGTCCTGGTGGCTGTTGCACCCCTAGCACTGGTGTTCCAAGTGCCAGCCATGCTCTAGGGCAGGCGCCCTCAAACTGCAGCCTGCGGGCTACATGTGGCCCGCCTAGGACATTTATCCAGCCCGCCTGGTGTTTTTGCCACCGCTGCCTGTCCTGCTTAACAGCTGACTTGTCCCGGGGCCCGCAGTCCAGCCCTCCAACGGGCTGAGGGACAGTGAATTGGCTCCCTGTTTAAAAAGTTTGAGGACTCCTGCTTTAGGGTACACAAGCCTTTCTCCCTGACTTCCTTCTTTTCCTTTGGGTAAGTCCTTTTCTGCCAGGGGGACTGGTCCAGTGCTGATTCCCAGGGAGGGGGATGCTTGGTCAAGCTTGGGTCAGGGCAGGCTCTGTTACCTCAAGAAAGGTGAGACCACATGGAGCTCCTGGAATGCTTTGGTCTTCAACTGGGCACTGGGTGCCCATCCCCATCTCTAGACCTATCAGCTGATGAATACCTGCAAGCCAGAGGCACAGACAGGTGGCATGTGCCTCCTAATGAGGAACTGCAGGTCTCAGGGAAAACTCCGCCCTGTCCAGGAGCAATGCCGCTGTGAGGCCCTAGTGGGGACTCTAGAGGGCGCCCTCAGTTCCACGGAGGCCATGTTCACTGACTTCCGGGGCTGTACCTGCATCACCCTTGCCTGGACTGGCACCGAACATATTCCAGAACTTGCCCACAGGCACACTACCATCTAGTTTTCCAGCCTGAGGCTGTGGCTTCTCCATCACATTTGTACGGATGACTCTGCCATCATCATGCCAGTGACACTGAGGCCCTCTTCCCATTAAGGCAGATCCTTGCCAAGACTTTCTCTGTGTGCCACCTTACTCCCTTCCCCCAGGTGCCCTGCCATTCCCCTGGGCTGGGCAGAAGTACAGGTTGGCTCCTTTGGGGGTGCAGCTCTGACTAGTTCAGCTAAGGGGGCTTTCCTCCCTAGCAGGACTTGTTCATATATAAACCTCCCACCTCCTTCCACCACAAAAATAAAACTCTTGGGCCTTCACTGTGAGCCTATCTTGCTGTGGGTACAGCTCATGATGTGTGTACACATAGTGTGTGCACATGTGAGGTGTGATGTGGGTACATGCAGGTCTGTGAGACATGGCGTGTGTAGTGTGCATCAAGTGTGCATGTGAAATGTAAATCTGTCGTGCATGTGAGATGCATTTGTGTGCACAGGATGCATGCGTGTGTAGTGTAAGGCATGTGTGTACTGTGCATGAGATATGCCCTTGTGTGTGTGTGCACAGGATGCATGAGCACATATTGTGAGGCACAAATTGTGTGGGGTGCACACATTTAGGGTGTGCACTTGAGACACACATGTATATGTGTTACCAGGCATGCATTCATTATCACGTGTGCATAGGCACGTGCGTGTATGTGATGTGTGGTATGTGGTGAGGGAAGTAGTGAAGGTCGCTAGGGCTCAGATGTCCAGCACCCCAGGTGTGCAGGGTGGATGGAAGAGGGATCCAGCCAGCTCAGGCCTCAGGCTGGACTCAGGCTGCAGATTTGGGGAATCTGGTCTTTAGGAGACAGCTGGTGGCACCACAAGTGTTCTGGGCTGAGACCAACAGGGTAGTGAGGGTGCCTGGCCTCAGGGAGAAAAAGTGAAGAAACTGAGTCAAGGCTTGGCACCCATAGTTCAGTGAGCAGGGCGCCAGCCACATACACCAGGGCTGGTGGGTTCTAGCCTGCCCCAGGCCTGCTAAACAACAACTGCAACAAAAAAATAGTAGGACATTGTATTGTGGCGGGCCAGTAATCCCAGCTACTTGGGAGGCTGAGGCAAGAGAATAGCTTAAGCCCAAGAGTTTGAGGTTGCTGTGAGCTGTGATGCCATGGTACTCTACCAAGGGTGACATAGTGAGACTCTGTCTCAAAAAAAAAAAAAAGGAAACTGAGTCAAGGAAGCGCAGGTACAGGCTCCTGGTATGGATCCCACATCTCCAGGGGCAGCTGTGGACAACTTGACCTAAGGCCTCAGACTTGCAGATTCCCCAGGGACCCCAGAGTCCCGCTTTACTTAGAAGTTCAAGGGGTGGGCTTGGCGCTTGTGGCTCAAGTGGCTAAGGCGCCAGTCACATACACCTAAGGTGGTGGGTTCTAA